CCTGGGGGCGCGGCTGCCCCTCCCGGGGCAAGAGGGGGACACTGCCTGTCAGGCTGGTATGAGGATTAATGAGGTGGCACACGGAACGCCCTTAGGATGGCGCCTGGCACATAGTTGGCACTCGGTCGCGGTGGCTGCTGTCATGGTCATGGTTGTTGTTTGTTGTTCTTGCCTTTGGGGGCTGATTCATCCCAGACAACAGCATGAGAGCATGTGCCTGGTGGATGACCCAGGGAGAATGTCCGTGGAGCCACTCGCGTGAGGTGAGTGGGGAACGTGGAAGTCCAGGCCCTCGTCCTGGTCTGACGGAATGTAGGGGAGTGAGCCAAAAAGACGCCCCAGAGCTTCCAAGTGTAAGTCATTGGCCTTAAGAAGTCGGGTCGCCCTACTGTGCATCATTTATCTGTCCGTCCATCCATCCACCATTTAACAAAAGAGCACCTACTACATCCAGGCACTGTCCCGGGCACTGGGGCCACAGGGGAACACGAACAAAGCGCGGACAGTCAGCACCAGTGTGATAAGTACAGGGGAGGGCAGCTCGGGGCAGAGTCCCAGGGAACCGCCACTCCAGCCTGGGCCATCAGAGGCCCGAATTGCTCTTCTAGCAAAGGAACAAAAACAGGACCCCGCCTGGCTTCTTCTAGGTAAGACGCGAGATACTCACTCGTTATGTAGTGAGAACATGTACAGGAAAGTGCTTGGTAATTGCTTTCTTGCTGTTGTTGTTCATCCTCACCCGAGGATATTTTTCCATTGATTTTTAGAGAGAGTGGAAGGGAGGGGTGGAGAGAGAGAGGGAAACAGAGAAACATCGATGTGGGAGAGACACATCAATTGGTTGCCTCCTGTAAGCACCCTAAACAGGGCCAGGGATTGAGCTTGTAACCCAGGTATGTGCCCTTGACCAGAATTGAACTGGGATCCTTCAGTCCATGGGCCGATGCTCTATCCATGAACCAAACTGGCTAGGACACTAATTGTTTTTTTTTTTTAGGTGGGATCTTATTTGGGCGGGGGAGGGTGGTAAATAGTGACTGAATGAATTGTACAGAAATAATGGCAGCAATTGTTTATTAAGTGAGCGATTAGAGAGTCATATTGTTTATTAAAAGATTGAAACTCTCCATAGATTGGTAAATGATTGCTATCATCCCCCGCCCCCCCCACCAAGGGCCTTTGCTGTCTTGGGACCTTCCCTGTAATTCAGCAGATGAAGGGTTAAAACCTGGCGCAGTAAGGGAGTCTCCTTGGACCCTGCCCCTGCTGTTCTGGATGGTCTGATACTCACTGTCAAACATATTCAGGATTATTCCAGATAATATTACTATCGCTCTTTTGCATGTGGGGAAACCGGGGCACAGGAAGTGGAGGTACTAGTGAGTGAGTGGCAGAGCCAAGATCTGAACCCCTCACCAGATCTCAAGCTGCTGATGTCCTGGGTTAGAATATTACCTAGAACCCATTGGACACTCACAGAAATAGGAACCCGGCCCCTGTCCTCAGGGGAAAGTCTGTAATGAAGGGGCCGGAGGAGCTTCGCTCTGGAGTCCTGAGGAGAGGGGGAGACTGGAAGGGCCCTGGGAGGGGCCTCTGGTCTGGGCAGAAACAGAAAGCAGCGCTGGCCTCACTGTTTCCTTCTGGGGGGAGTGGAAACACTGTCCTTCCCTTTCCCTGAGGCGGGGCGAGGCAAGGAGCCCTCCTGAATCATTCTATGCTCGGGCAGATCAGCGGCTGCCTCGGTTTCCCCAACTTTAACCATGATGCTGGTACCCTCCACGTCCTCCCACACTCCCCTGCTACCCTTCCAGGATATGCCAAGAAGTAACGTGGTGATGGGGAAAGAACCTAGGATCAAGGTGTGGACCCTCAGTTTGCTCTTCCATCGAAAGGCATTATAAAAACTATGGTAACATTAGTAAGTTCCAGAGCATACGGTCAAGGGCCTGTGTTCGAATGATGGCTCTAGCTGGCCAGTGTTGCTCAGTGGTTGAGCATCAACCTATGAAGCCAGAGGTCACAGTTCCGTTCCCCAGTGTGGCTCAGTGGTTGAGCATCAACCTATGAAGCCGGAGGTCACAGTTCCATTCCTCAATTCCCAGTCAGGGCACATGCCCAGGTTGCAGGCTCGATCCCTAGTAGGGGGCATGCAGGAGGCAGCCCATCGATGATTCTCTCTCATCATTGATGTTTCTATCTCTCTCCTCCTCTCTCTGAAATCAATAAAAACATATTTTTTAAAATAAATAAAAACAAATGATGGCTCCACCACTTCTCCGCTGGGTAGCCCTTGGCCAGTTACTGCACCTCTCTGTGCCTCACTGCCCTCCTCTGTGCAGGAGATGACTGCACACTTAGCAACATACTTGCCCGGACAATTACAGACTTAATACTTGCAAACAGGTGGGTGTGCCGCTCCCAGGCGGTGCTCAATACGCGCTTGCTCTCACCCCCGTAGACAGCACGAGAGTTCGCACTGTGTGTGACCCTGGGCACGGCTGGCTCTCACTGTCCCCAATCATCAGATAACAATAACATCGCATGTGTGTTAACCGCATGTTAAGCATCGACGTTAGCATTTTCCGTGCGTGATTTCACAGGATGTTTATAACAACCCTGTGAGGTCCGCATGATCCTCTTTCCCTTTTGCTGATGAGGAAACTGAGGCTTTGCAGCCATCATCTTAGCCCAACCTGTCTCACTATGAAGCCCCCGTAAGTTAAAAAGTACCTGGAGAGGTTGGAAGTGCTACATCTCTTCAGCAACTTTGTGTTGCAAAATCCAGTTTCTGTATCAATGTAAGTTACTGTTTTGCAACTTCAATGGGAATTGCAGCTAACATTTATCGAGCACTGACTATGCGCGTGGCATCCATATTATTGGCCCCATTTTACAGATGTGAAAACTGAGGCACAGAGAGGTTAAGGCACTTATCCAAGATCACACAGTGTGATGTGGCCAAACAGAAATTCTAATCCAAGCAGAAGGCAGGGAGTTCCAGTCTGGGAGTGAACAGAGCTCATGCTGGATGTGTTTATTCCTGAAATACTTTCCATCATCCCACTTCAGATAGAACTGAACACACCTCTTTCAGATCTTCAGTTTTTCCCAGAGCCTTGACCCAAAGCTGCACAGCAAGGTCAGTATTTTCCTGCCATGCAAATATTTCTATTCGCTATTCATGGCCCCACCCATTTGCATGCACACTTCAGGTCTGTCCCTAAGCTCACGTGGTGTTTGAGTTTAAAGGGGCATTAGCTTCTCCTCTGCAGGGCACGGTGGAAGCATCTCTCACGCCAGCTCTTTGATGCCTGGAATTGCATTCTGTGTGCCCAGCTGCCTCGGAATGCCTAGTGTGGTTCGCTGGGAACAATGTGGTGCCCTGTCTCCCACATGTGTACACACACACTGGCACGCACATACTCACCATCCCTGCACACATGAGCGTGGGCTGGGAGGGAGGCAATGAGCACACACAAGATACATGGCCCTCAACACCTTGAGAAAGGGGCAGGTTCATCAACCTTGAGCAGAGGTGGAGCAGCTCCAACAAAATGTGAGGCTTGTATTAGATCACAGAGTCCATCAGAAGCCCCGCTTGTCTTCCAAACTCACTCTCTCTCTCTCTCTCTCCCTCTCTCTCCCTCTCGCTCTCTTCCTTTCCAAATAGAGCTCCGTTTGGCATTGGTTTTCCCCCCACCCCCACCATCACAGCATCAAGCACTCTCTTGGTATGTGTGACGGTCAAAACCAGTTCATGTCCTTAGCCATCAGTTACCTGTCTGAGACCATCGCTTTTACAGGTGATGCAATATTAGTACAATGTGTTTGCCATTATGTCACATGCTTGACCACTAGCAGAGGCCAGGGTAAGCTGGTACCAGTTAAAACGTTCAAAGTGCAACTCAGCTAAAACTATGTGCCATTGAGGCAAAGCACACCATTTACCCAACCCAAGGCAATTGGCCTCACTCTGGTTTAAAAAAAAAAAAACCCTCAGGTTTATTTACTGAAATTGTCATTTCTTCCCCCCCAGAACTTTAATCAGCCACGCAGAGCACAAAACCTACATTCAACTCTGATTTTATGACACCAGGCTAACTCCTCCCACGCGTATTTATTTCGCTTAACTCTTGCAGCCCTGCCCGCCGGGCAGTGCCCCCACCGCGGGCAGGGCTGGCCTGGGAACAACGCCCCGCATTGCCTGGTCTCCACTCCTCAAGCCCCACGCGCGAGGGGACAGCCCGCACACCTCGCCGCCCGGCCAGAGGGCAGATTTTCATATCATATTCTTATACGTTAAGCCCCTCCCGTCAGATCCAAGGAGTATGATTCCAGGGCTAAATCCAAGAGAAGGAAAAGAGGCAGAAATACAGAAAGCAGAGTGTAATCAGATAGCAAAACAAACTGATGGTACACTGCACTTTAAAGGGGGAGCCGGGGACTGTATCCACCAGGCACATCCAAAAAAAAAAGAGGGGGGGGGGTTGTTTAAATGTCCCCAGCGCATCTGCTGCTGTAACTGTTTCAAAAGCGAAGTCTTCGTGGCTAGCTTTGCTACATAGTAAAAGATAAAGCCTGTTCTCCTAAAAGGAAAAAAAGCTAAATGATATAATAATGATGAATAATAATAACAGTGCAGCTGCGTAGCATCTGCTGTCAAAAGCCGAGTGCTGAAACGGTTAAGCAGCGAGCGGTTAGTAGCGAGGGACGCCCGGTGTCCCACGGAAGGGAAACTCCCGTGACACCTCGCCAGGGAATCCCGCGTGGGACGCCGCACTGCCCGGGGCTCAGCGGGCTAACGTCGCCCCCTCCCCTCCCTCCTCGGCCGGGGCGAGGGCGCCTCTGTTCCGGGCCACTCTACCTGTGCGCCCTGGGCCACCGGTGTCCCCGGCCCCCTGCGCCCCGCCAGGAGCCCGAAGCGCTGCCGGAGAAAGGAGCAGAAGGGAAGGGCTGGGAGGCGGGAGGAGGACCGGCCGCGGTGGAGGGGAGTCAGTTACCTTGGTCCACAGACCCCATGATGCGGAGGGGATGGCAGTGCCCCGGCTTGAACGCAGCCTCTCTCTGCATCTGGAAGGGATGGGGGCTTGGCGCGCGCTGTGAGAGGGGCTCTGTTTTTTGAGACCAGGAGCCAAGGGGGCGCCGTCCTCTAAAGCATGCTCGCGGGGTGCCCTGGCCGAGGAGCCTGTGAGGGGCCTGGGAGCT